AACAGTCATAAATATTCATGAAGACTTATTGATGTTCATGACAGGGGTCATGTCATGTTTATGACAGTGTCATGACAGTCTTATTCAACCCCCTTCAAATAAAGTGTTACCAACATTTTTTCTCACAAAAGCCTATTTACACTCAGCTACTCCAGACTAGCAGAAGCAGCGATTAGAAAACACCTGCTGGAACTGCGCATCTTCTGAGCTCATCATATGAGCTACTTCTCAGTCCGACGCTGCTAAGAAAGGTCGTAAACTGTATAATGGAGGAGCTTGTGATGATGTGCTGAAGGTGGAGTGTCAAAAAGAACAGAAACTTCTTAAAGGGACAGAAGTTCAGTTTCAAGGTGTCAATTTATGAAGTCAAATTTTTTGATGAAGATGAAACTATGAACCTAGAAAATAAATACTACAACCTCCTTAAGGTTTTCTCTCAATCTTTTCATTTTTAAGACATTACATTTATAAAACATAGTTTACCAGACAGTATTTAGTTGGGTTAAAAATTAATTTAAAAAAAAAAAATCTTACTATTAACAATGGGAGAAACATGTCGTCAAAACTTGTGACAGCAGGTGTAACTTCCACCAGTATGCCACTGAGAGCTTCATCCAAAGCCTCGGGTGTCCAGTTGTCTTCACCATTCATAAACAATTCCATTTCATTTATAGTTGATCTTGACAGCTTGATTTTGGCATTGTAGTAAAAGTCGTTGATGTCTGTGGGCTGAGAGAGAGATTGGGAAAAGTGCATTAAAGTGAAAATGACCTTTTCTCTTGTTTTGTTCTACAGGTATTTATGAAACAAAAAACCACCAGGGTTATAAAGTTTGAAAAAGGCAACACTCCAAAAACACAAAATCTTACCAAGTATTTCCAGTCTACTGTAATTTCTAGTGCAGATATCTTAGTCTGCTTTTCAATAATACATATAAAAGATATAGGAGCTTGTTTTGAGTTAGTATTTCCTTTATATTGATTTAAAAAAAAACATACTATATGTATTTCACATTGGCAGATTATTTCACTTGTATCAAGATATTTTTTCCACACTATAAGTGAAATAATCTGCTAATGGAAAAAGTACTTTTTCACCAATGCTAAGGAATCACTGACTTAAAACAAGCTCATATTTCTTGCTGAAAAGTTAATTACAAGTTGGTTTTGTCTCATTTCAAGTGAGTTAAGATATTTGCACTAGAAACTAAACTATAAATACTTGGTAAGATTTTGTGTTTTTGCAATGTGCAATTTGACCCCAGAACATTACAACACAAAAAATACAGCATAAAAGAATCCATAAAATCCTGACTTACCTCAGTAGCTCTGTATATTTCACTCAAGAGCCTGCCAAGAAACCTCTTCAACACTAAATCACACTGCAGTTTTGGTTTTGCCACCACCTTCATAAGATAAATCAAAGTACTTAGAAAACAGAACTTTCTCAGTTCATCTTGACCACTGTTGTTCTGGGGACCTCCAAAGCTCAATTTTAGGTCTTATTTTGTTTATTTTATATTTATTGCCTCTTGGTCAAATTTTTAGCATTTCATTTGACTGCTTTGCAGATGAAGTCCAGATTCATATCCCCCTAAATATGATAATTGGTCAAATCTGAATCAGCTGGAATTAATAGATTGTTTAGCTAAATCATGGATGGACCTAAATTTTCTTCTCCTCAATCACAACAAAACTCAAGTCTAATTGGCAAAAAAAATGTTACTCAAAATTTTAACTCAGGATTAGCTCCATGTTGTCTGTTAGGGATCTTGGTGTTTCATTTGATAGCTGTTTAGAATTAGTCAAAAAACTTAGTTCAGTTGTTAAATCAAGTTTTTACCACCTGTAGCTTTTAGCAATGCTGAAGCCTTATTTTTGTTTTTTGAAGGAATTATCTGTACCATTATTACATTGCAATTGGATTATTGTAATTCTTTATATAAAGGCGTGGATAAATCCTTAACACAGTGTCTTCACATGATCCTGAATGCAGCAGATCGGCTTCTTCCTCCCCGTTTGATGCCCCAAGTGCCCTTTTTTGAGTTTAAGTTCATTTTGGTATCTGAACTGATAAAGTTTGTTGATTTATCTGAAGCACCAAATGAGTCACACAGATATTTAACAGCCATGAATATCATGACATACAGATTTATAAAATCCAACAGTTTTAATATAAAAAAATCTACTAACCTCAAAGGGATTCCACATTATTTCCTGTCAAATAGAACAAAATCAACATCTGATTTTAGTCAGACTTCTTTACATCAGGTATGTATCAGGTGTGTCTTTTCTGAAAACAGCTACACTCACTAGCAAACAAGTTTGCGGGGGAAGATATCTGTCTATAATGGGAAGGGTAGGAGCCTTCATTCTACATGACGATATGCATGTAGAATGCGTATCCCACAACGAATTATCTAGCTGAGTGGCTGACACTAATCTCTACTCATAAAAGGAGGAATGCAAGTTGCCATTTAATTTATCTCTCCTGTTAAAAAGGTACAGATTTTAGGATTGCAGAAAGGAAATTAAAATCAATTAGTAGTCCAATCCCAGTTCTTTAGATTGTTTGGCACCATGCTAAGCATCAAGTCAGAAGTAGTCAGAAGTTCATATTAATTTATGGAGACAGATTAGAAATTCCAATGGTTTGGAAACATTGGAATCTATTATCTCTCTAGATCAGCTATCGTTAATGTGTTTGTTCAGATCTAATTAGTTCCTAATGAGTTATAGATGTCTTTTTCAGAGATCCAAATTACTCGAAACAAATGTCATATTTGAGCATAAAACATATCAGGATACCTGGTTTTTTAAAATACAACAGATTTAATATAAATATAAAACATCTACTAACCTCAGAAGGTTCCCAGCCACACACAATCCTGTTGAATTGAACAAAGTGAAAATCTGACCTGAGTCAAGGTGCTTTACATCAGGTGTGGTTTCTCAAACAGCAGCTATGCTTGCTGGCAAACAGAATTGGGAGGGAACATACCTGGCTGTAATGGGAAGGGTAGAAACCTTGAATCTACATAATGACACGTCACCTGAACAAGTTAGCAGAACCACTCATGCTAACTTATTAATTGTGCTTCTCAAAATAGGAGGATAATGCAGGTTTGCCAAGCAATTCATATATCTCATATGCTGAGAAAGGTGCAGATTTTAAGATTGCAAAGGAGATATTAGGCTCAATATTGTTAGTATTCAAATCCCAGTTCTTTACAATCCTTGGTACCATCCTGAGCATCAAGTCAAAGGTGGTGTCAGTGTTAAGCTAATAACCCCAAAGCAAAAAGGGTTAATGTGCACACTTACATTCTGGCAGAAGACATGGATGTATAGTTTGGAAGGTGTGTCAGAGTACTGTATGGATTTAGGCATCTTGATGTTGATTGACAGAAAGCAGTTAAGTTTGATCAAACATAACAGCAAACAAAATTGCCCTGTTAAGGAATTCACTTCCTTAACTTGTGAATTGTAAGATGTTTGCTTTGAGTATCCAAATGTAGAAAGTCATACTCTGTGACTGCACTTAAGATGTTTGAAATAATTTCTTATTACAACTGTGCATTACTGGCAAAATAAGAAACATCCAGACTCACAATGATGCCCCAAAACAAGCCCATATGTATGTCACTTTTGCGCTAAACCAATGGTGCCTAAACCCATTTCGCTACCATCCTACTACTTTTAGATGCAACTTCTCTTCAACTCACCTGAATCAAAACATGTTAATAAGGAAATTCAGCTTGTTAAAGAAGGTGCTATGGAGCAGAAATACATCAAAATGTTGCTGGACAGTGGCCCTTGAAGACTGGACATGGGCACCCGTAGGCTAAACTATGGTGATTGTAATATTTTCCCGCTATGCTGAAATCTTTGTGCTCTACATAACGATTTAAATAGATTTACATATCTATTTAAAAAAAACACTGTTATGTCAATAATTTGTGGTGCATCGCTACTGTAAGTAGTCTTCAACAACGACTCAGTGGCCACGTGAAACTCTTATCTACACTAGAAAGGCACACAAAACCAATATTTGCAACATTCATTTTCTCATAGAAATTGCTATTTGCACCAACCCCACTGCACTCCAGATCATTTCTACACTATTTTTGCAAGTCCTAAGGACTGTTAAAAGAACCACACATGGGCCTGACCGACAGTAACCATTTTCTGGTGTCACAGAGGAAAAATGTTATTCACACCTAAGCCATGGTTTTCGAGCCATGGTTTTTCATTTCACTAACACAAATAGGGTTCAGAAAGAGAAAGGAAACAAAACTTAGAACCTTTCTCAGGAAATGGAAACCTTAAGCATTTGTAGAAATGAAAGGATGTAAATGGCACATACCAGCAGAGTGAATGACGGTAACATAAACTTGTATTTCTTGCTTGTTCAGGGCCTGCATTTCTAAAATTGGACGTACTGTGCAATACCTCAAATACTTGTTTTGAGTCCTGTGTAGAACATGTTGATGAATTCCTCTTTTCAACATTGGATTACTGTCTGTCACAGTATGAAAGTGCAACTTGAAGATTAAATTATAGCCGGTATCAGGACGTCAAACTCCCTTCAAAAGGTCCCTGGCTTATTAAAAATATAGCCATGTGTTTTGATAAAGTGAACATTTGGATTATTTTCCAACAAAAAAATATTAGGTGTAGATTGCATAGAAATATATTTTATTTTTTAAATATCTTAAAGTTTCACTTTAAATTCAACCATATTTGTGCCTCAAGGAGGCGAATATATTTGCCAAAGGTTGCGCCCAAAATGGAAAACAATGTGAAACTCTGATCAACTATGAAAGTGAACAATAATTTACATCTAATTTACATTTTCTATATTGCTCTCAACAATTTGTTCAATTATAAATAGACTGCAGAAAATGATTTAATGTTTGTAAACTGTTGAGTTTTCATCCATTTTCCACCACTTAGGTTTTTTTTTAAGCATTTTAGTATTTTATGTGCTGATTTTTTTTAAAATAAAACTCACCTTTCATTTCCCTCCACCTAGTTTTTCTTAATCATTCTAATGCAAACATTTATTCTTTCTTCAAAATATTCAACTTGATACTTAGTACAATGCCACCATTTGAACCTTCAAACACAATACACATCCAAAAAATATTAACTTTATTTGCATAAAGATTGGATTCATCAATTAAAAAACACATTTATTTGGAAGTTCCATTAAAAATAAAAATCTGATATTACTCTTAAACTTTAGTAGTATCATTATTATCCAGCTGTAAAACAACAGCACAGCTCTGAAATTCCCATCATCCTGATGCTGTTGAAGAAAGGCTGCGGTGTAACTCAGTGATCTGCTCTTTTTACCTTAAAAGACAAAGTAAAACCGTACAAAGACACAAGCAGCCATTCAACAAATGTGAGCACAAAGCAGAAAATGAACTGTACAGTTGAATAAATATCCACAGTCCAACATTTATAAGCCATTTGCTCTACGACCAAATAGCACCAGTCACTGATGGTATAAAACTTGCTGTTTTGATCAGCAGTATTTATTCTGCTGCTGCTGGATTTGTCTCCTGAACAGGAACTCCAACCGTCTCTATTCCCGTCTGTGATATCGAGTGGGTCTGTTCTTCTCCTGAGGCTCCTGGATCCTGCAGGGACAAGATTGACATTTAAGTTTTACACACAGCTTATGTATGCGTTGGCCTAATGGAGACACTTTTTCTGCTCCGAATAAACGCCACCACTTGTCTTTGGAAAACACATCTCTAACTCCATCATCCCCAATGCTGGGATGCCTCAAGGGTGTGTGCCCAGTCCACTGCCGTTTATGCTGTTATCATATTAACTTTGATTCACATAGTCATTAATTTTTTTTGTGATACTATAGTAGTTTACATTAATCCATCATTCCCATAAAACAGCCAAAGGGAGAAACTCAAAAAGCTACAGGGCTGGTGCAGACCACAACAGGTTCTCCCATGATTCATCCAAAATGTTGAAATTGGCTCTGATTGATGTAGCCAAATCTCACCGTTTTGTTCGCACCGAGGCATGACGCAACGCCAGGCCTGGGTTAAACTATTTCGCTCAGAGCTCTGTGTGATGTGTTGTGTGATTGTTCAAAGGTTTGTGGCCACATTTTATGCAGAAATGCACTAGGACAGCAATGCTAATATTTGCTTCAACTTGTCCACTTCCACTATCTGTTTGAATTCTTTTGAGGAGCATTGATCTGGCACAGCAAGGAATTATAGTTATACGTGCAATTTTTCAATGAACAACTACAAAGACTGTCATGTGGGTAAAACTCATGGATGGAAATTGCAATGCTGTTGTCAAGGGATGCAGCTGTCTGAAAATAGATGTGGCACTTTCTTGGTGTCTAGTTTGTGAAAGCAAAACGGCAGATGCAGAGAGGGAGGGGGAAGTCCAGCGGGTAGGAGCTGACGTATACTGAAGGTGGTCTGCGCTGTTGCATGAAAGTTGTGTGGAAATACAAATTTCATGCAACCATTTGAGTGTGTGTCGACTGCTCAGCTTTTGGATGAGGTACAGGAGACCTTATGATGCTCAGTGAGGATAAAATACACAAGATGATATCAGACGACTGGAGTTAAAGATCTGTTTACCAGCAGGACACTTTCAGAAGGAAGAGTGAATAAGCCTCTAAAAGTTTACATCTCTGATGACCTCATGTGGTGGAACAACAGCACTGCAATATTGAAACAAACCAAGAGGCCTTTCTGAGAAAACTAAAAACAAACATCACTATGAACCAGCATCTTCCCCCCAGATGCAATATGCCAGATAAGAAGCACATGTAGAAGATAATGAAGGAGCTTTCAGCAAACACCTGATAGGTTTCCCCCAGAAAACTTGCTAAGCCTGGTGGTTGGGTGCTGGGGCAGTCATTCATCCAGCGGCTGGTTGTTGTTTTGAGTTAAAAGATGTTTCAAGTTGACAGGAAATTTGAAAATATCACTTGATGATCATGTGTTATTGAAAGACTGTTAGATTAATATCTGAACACCAACTATAAAGTCTTAAAAAATGCAAACATTTTATTAATATTGCTGTTATGGCTGGTAACCTATATTTATCAATATTGTTTTTGTTAGTAAATATATTTCAGTATTTCAACACACTGAAAAAATGACCACACCAGTGACACTAACTCTCTTCTTCAGTGAAACACATAACAATCCTGCACTGCATCACTATCACATGAAACAAACAAACACAACATGGCCAACCCCCCTCGCAAAACACTACACAAAAGTCAATCATATAGAAATAAACATTGGCCACTAATGTCAAAATGTTATTACGTATCGGATCGACACAGATGTTAAAATGACCAACACCGGCTGATCTTAATCCTAATGTGGATATGCATTTAAAAATAAATCTAAGAATTGAATTCTAAACACATTCACTAACATGTCATAACATTTAGCAAGCAGAAACACAGATTTTAAAGCAACAAAAAACTCCCAAAAACTCAGGTCTTTACCAGTTTATGTTGCAGTTATTATTCGGCCTCCTGTTTGTGCATGCATGGCACTGCAGCAGTGAAACCACACTCACAATTGAAAGGACACTTAAAAACTATGATAAATCTTCTAATCTGAACTAGTTTGATGCAAATTAAAAACAACTCACCTGAACATCAGTCTGTGAAGGCTGTATGTCTGCTGGCTGGGGTGACTTTACTGCAACATCTTTTCTGGGTTCATCTTTAGAACCTGTCTGCTTTGTTTGTATCTGTTTCTTCTTTGCTTGTGATGAATTTGATTCAGTTTGTTGGTTTTTTGGTTGGTCCTTTTGAGCAGCAGCATTTTCTTTTCTTACCTCCTCCGGGGCCTCCTGCTGGTCTTCAGACCCCGAGTTAGCAGAAGCGTTCTCCACTTCAAGCCTTTCCTCATGCTGCTCACCATCTAGTTCATCCTCGCTGAACCGAGGGTCTGCAGCTTTTAGAGTCTCCACACCGATTGGTGCTTTTTCCTCCTTGACCCTGTTGGGTCGTCTGCAGTGAATGTGGTTCCTGTCCAACCTCGCATTATCGCCTTGCTGCCGTGGGATGTGCTGTTGAGCAATTGCAAGTGGAGGTGCGTGAGCAGGTGCGTCTCCTCCAGCCAGGTAGTCACGGTTCTCAATCCTGGGAGGAGGACGCTGGTTATGCTCCAGCTCTGCAGGAGGTGGATCCCTGCGAGGGCGGCGAAAAGGCGCCATGATGCCATGCTGAAAGGCTGCGTGCACACTTCCATACATGACCACCTGGGCGAGAGTCAAACATACCCGTCAAAAGATCCATCGCCTTTACCTTTCACCTTATTTCGTTACTAAGTGTGATGACGTGTGCTTACCAAAATAGAAAGCACAATAGTGATGAGGACTGGGATCTGCAGCGTAACCGGGAGATCTTTGAGGAGTTCCCTGAGGAACTCACTGATTCCCTGCCCAAAATGCTTCAGCGGCTCTGTGATGAAGGTTGTGATGGTGACTGAAATAGCCTAAAAAAATAAATAAATAAAGTAATTAAGGATTAAACATTATAATAACGCAAGTGAAAGTTGATGTTTAACAACAAGTAAAACAACAACAGAAAAAACATTTTAACATGAAAATAACTTTCATTAGTAGCTGGATAAAATGTTCAAAGTCAGACATCTATGTCTGCAGTTAACTCAAAGCAGGAATACAAAAACACGATTTAGCTAAGTATATACTGAACACAACAACATTCACCAACATTATTGCATGTTTTTGCCGTCTACTTTTATTGAATGCTATTTTTTACTTGTCTGGTATTAAGCTTTTTAGGTGATCTCAAACATTTAAGTGAGGCAAAAAAAAAAAAAAAAAAAAAAAACCTGCAGG